GGTGTGGGTGTGGGTGTGGGTGTGGGTGTGGGTGTGGGTGTGGGTGCTCACATTATCTTTATATCATACGCACACCCACACCCACACCCACCCACACCCACACCCACACCCCACACCCCACACCCACACCCACACCCCACACCCCACACCCACACCCACACCCACGCCCACACACACACCCACACCCTCGAGATATGAAGAGGGCTCACACCCACACCAACAGCCGCACTCACACGTACACCCACACCCACACCCACACCCACACCCACACCCACACCCACCCACACCCACACCCACACACACACACACACACCTATCCACACCCTCACCCTCACCCTCACACACACTCACATTCACACCCTCATCATATTCCATTACCGACATCCTACTTATTTAATTGAATTTTGTCATTCCGACATGCTGGACGAAAATTTGGAATAGTTTTTTTGCTGAAAGTTCATAACCGACATCTGCTACGGGAGTTCGGAATTACGAGGTGCTACGAAACGTCATTTTCCCGCGTTCACTCATGCCCAGGATAACTTCCTCTAAATTTCTTGATCGGGCTGAAATTTTTAACAGCAGTATTTTGTACTATTGTCCAGAGGTAAGATTGGCCGTTTTAATTTTTGACCTCTCCTTCGTGATATATATGGTTTTCAAGATTTATAAGCAGGCGTCTCTAGAGATCTTTTACGTATTTCTGCTGTAAAAAAAAAGTACGTAGGATTTTTGAAAGTGCTTAAAACTAGGGTGGATGGGTGTAGATCTGGGTCTGGGTAGGAAAGTGCAGTGTTGGTTTAGTGAGCACCGACTTCCACTGACAACTATGCTCACCGAGCCTTGAAGATAACAGTATCAGTGATCACCCTGTCAGTATTTGGAGAACACTACATATATCGCGGTAAATACTAAGATTTAACTCAAAAATACTTTAGTTAGTGATAACTCTGACACTGATGTATGGTGTTCGGTGGCACAGTGCTCATTGATATTGATATCTTCAGTGCTCTGTGAACGCTGACATCGATCTTTCGGTGGCATGGTGAGCACTGATACTGATGTTTTCAGTGTCCGTTTTTCAGTATCTTGAGGGTGTGGGTGAGGGGTCTGGGTGGGTATGGGTGCGGGTGTATGTGGGTGTAGGTGTCTTTGTAGTGTGGCTTTTGGTGTGCGTGTATGTGGTGTGATTGTTGTTTTATATTAGGGAAAACTAACACCTACACCGATCCTCACCCACTCCACGCCTACCGCACACCCACACCCACATCGATAAATTCGGGGGACCATTTTTTGAAAAAATTGACTTTCTACCCTATCCGTTTACAGTTCGCGCGCGACTTCAATGAAAAAAATATCAATTCGTATACAACTCAACAAAGGCTACAAGACGAGCATGCCGAAAACGTGCTGTTAGAAAACTTCTGTAAAAAGTGGGTGAACCTATGTAGAAATACCCTGCCCTAAAAGTATCAATTCTAAGGAAAAACTGGTGTTACAGCAATTTATTTATCAACGTGTGCAGCTCACAGCCGCGGTTCCCAACGCGTGCGTGCACACGCGTGTTTTCAAATCTTTGTCTGCCTGAATATGATCAAATAGCATAGAAACATAGAGCCAAAGACGCTCTATCGATTCATTATAAAAAGGAAAAGTTGTTTTGCGTATTGTAATGAAATACGACCCTGACGACATTACTTTTGGAATGTCCTAATTAGTTGTCATTTTTATTACTATTTGCATTTTAGTTTCGAGATTTCTATTCGAAATAAGTCTTTCGCTATATTTCACATTTGGGCGCTTCACTTTCCCGAAATTTTTGTTTCCAAACGTTTTTATTTCTAGAATCATTGTTCAAATTTCTATTTTTTCAACGTTTTTATTGCATTCCTGAAGAAACGATATAGCTACACATAAAATGTTTTACACAAGTTAGAATTTTTATTTAATTTCTAAATGCTTCTATAATGTTTGGTATTATACAAAACAATTTTTTTCCAAGACTGACCGTACGATCACATCGTATCTGTTATATCTTTTTGTTGATATTATTTGTATTTGTGAACATTTCCTATAGATCGGATGAGTTCGTCGATAAACAATCAGCTGCATGCGCTGAGCTTTGTCCTTATTCTAGTATACTAAAGCGCAACTCAATTGAATTCAATGTCACACATACTATTCGGCACTATCCAGATTTCGTCTGTCCACAAAATTTTCGTAACCTCGCCGATTGGATATTTGGTTGGCCTAATCAATTTGAAGAGCACCTCGACATAACCACCGATGATGGAAAACGTATTGCACCATGCCTACCTAGTGGTAGTATTATTTATGTTCGCATATGGGCAATCGATGAATTTTTCCGTATCATTTATCCTCATTTACAAAATCATTTTGTGTTGATTACTGGTGAAGGTGATATTTCATCACCAAATGATCTGCAATATCTTGAACGCTCTGATTCAAAAATTATTCACTGGTTTGGTCAAAACGGGCAATATGACGTTTCACGAATTAAAAAATTTACTCATATACCCATTGGTAAGTAATATAAATGTATTGTATCTTCATTACTTGAGAGAGGAACCATAACGACAAGACACTACCCAAAACCAGATTATCTCATCAGATTTTTTTATGTTCAGGTCAGAGCTAGGACAAGTACAAGTACCGCAAGTATAAGTATTATACTTGTACTTGAAGAAGAGTACTTGGTACTTGTAAATGAGAGATAAATACAATATATATTTTCGAAATAAGATTAGTATAGCTGCTTATTCTAATGCACTAATAGTTTACAACATAATTTATTTACTATTCTCTCATGATATGTATTTGTAATTATAATAGTGGGAATAAATATAGTGAACGCAAAAGACATTGTATAATGAGATGAGTAAGTGCTATTAAACAATAATGTTCACATACCAATTCCATGTCTTTATCTAAGAGATGGTTTTAAAACTAAGTCTTAGTTTTGATGTACTTATATATTTCTTCTTCAGTATTTTATCAGTAATAGTTTTATTAAAGTTACATTTTTATAATTTTCATTTTTAAAATATATGCTTCCAAACGGCTACACAATCTTACGAGTTTTAACTTTTATGTACAATTCTAGACAGAACCATACCGCATAATTTTATGAAAGACATAAATGGAATAAAAAAATGCAACACTTAACTCAATTTTATCTCTGGGATAAGAAATATGGATAAATTTATAATAAGAGTATTGAAACGCCGTAAATATTAAGCTGATCACTGTAGGAGAACACAAGACGGTCTAAACTTAACGAAATCGACGTATTTTTATTACCAAATAAGATATTATGGCATATATATATAAGGAATATGTACCAAGTATTCTTCCTCAAGTACAAGTAAAAGTACCAAGTACTCTTCCTAAAGTACAAGTACAAGCACCAGGTATTCTTCTACAAGTACAAGTACCAAGTACTCTTCCTCAAGTACAAGTACAAGTACCGAGTACATCTTCGAAATACTTGTACTTGTACTTTCTACTTGAAGAAGTACAGAAAGTACAAGTACAAATACTTGCGTCCTAGCTCTGGTTCAGGTACTTCTTTATACCTGAAAGATGAGTATTCATAGCGTATTCCCTCTACTGAAAGGAGAGTATTACGTAGAATCAGCAAACTTCGTTCGTTTACTCTGATTGGTTGATTAAAACTTCTAATCCTTTCCTACTATAATCTCTTTCTACTATAAGAGTTGACCGAAGGATAATCGAGGTCGAGGAACTCGATTTTGATGCAATTTTTGTACAAAAAATTTTTTGAATAATTTTTTAAACAAAGGACCATTTTTTTACAAAAATATTTTTTTCATAAGGGTTTAGCGAAGAATAATTAGGGCCGAGGAACACGAAACTGAGGTCAGTTCCCTATACTGGAAGCAGGGTGTGAGCACAATGAGTTAACTACGTTCATTGCTTCTTCAATTACTACTTAGTGACAATAATTTATAGCAAAACTTGACCAAAATTTATATAAGGTGAACAATGTGAATCCAAGATTAGTTCTCGCTTATTCATTGTGCTTGGGTTTTGTTGCTCTCTCTTCTGAAATGAAACGTGTGCGTATTTCTTATTTTTCAAACCTTAATCAAAGGTAATGAATGAGATGGTTTCGCGGATGAGACAAGTATTATTAGCACCGTTTAGTACTTCTGATTATCTTGAGGGTGTGGGTGAGGATGGGAGTCGGTGGAAAATACATTCATCCCCGTTCACAAACCCACACCCACACCCTCAAGATGTTCATAGAAACGGCTAGTCATGAGTGGCCGACTAGAGCGAGATCGCTGAACGACTAGACGCCTATTTGGAAACTTAATTCAATGTAGAGACTTGAGAAGTCCCAAGTAGCTTCAATGAATTTCACAGGAACTTAATTGGTATCCCTTCGAGAACGGATTCGACAGCCTATCATTTTCCTGAAAATAAAGGAGAGATTGAAATCTGTGCTGAAAGCTACACACTGTTATGTAAATTTAGAAGACTTTGATTACAAATCCACCTAAGATGGGCGATTTAGTTTTCATATGTGTGGAAACTTTAATGTAACTGATAAGAAAATAGAAAAATAGACAATGCCTGTCAATGGCTAATTGTGAATGACCGACTAACAGGAGGCCGACGAACGACTAGACGTCAGTTTGAGAGCTTAAAGTAAGTAAAATGAGTTACAATGAAAGACTTTTTGAGAAATTATCAAGTGATTCGATTAATGAACTAGAGCAAATCCTCATCTTATCTTAAATATGGTGATCGATCCGATTACATCCTTTCAGTAGAGGGTCAGCAGCGATTGCGCCGCGTTACGTGTATTTATAACAGAAACATTGAGACAGAACTGTTCTGAAGTATGATGATTGACTTCATTAAGTAAACCATCTTGAGCGTGTGAGTGATAATACTGATATTATTATGCTTAAAGAGAAGACCCACACCCACACCCTCAAGATGCTCATAGATATAGGCTATCTGTTTCCCATAGATAACACCAGTTAGGGCGTGTTTCCTGTTTAAATCCCACACGAAGTAAACTAGCAGTTTTTTATGTAGGTATTAATTGCTATGAAATGGCTGAAGCAATTCGTTTTATTCATTTACAGCACACAGATCATTCATTATATCCCATACTTCATGACGCTGATGAGCCTTTGCGTTATACTCAACCTCTTGATGTATCATATCGAGTACTCAATAGAACAATATCGAATCAAAAGTTAGTGCTGATTAACTTTGCTAGGAAAACCGATGAAACCGGACTTCGCTCAAATATTTGGGCAGATCTGTGCGAACCAAAAAATGATAAAAAGTATCCGTTTATAACATGTATAGATAAATCCAAGGGTGTTCAAATAAAACATCTTCCAGAAATCTATGCACGTAATCGTCAATACCCTTTTTGGTTGTCACCGCGGGGTAACGGTCTCGACTGTCATAGGACATGGGAAGCCTTATATCTTGACATAATACCAATTGTATGGAACACTTCGTTGAATATTTTATACGAAAAACTACCTGTTGTCATTATAAATGAACACAAAGAATTAAATGTAACATTTTTAAGTGACAAACTACATGAAATTTCAAGGAAGAAATTGTCACGAAAATTTTATCAACACGAAAAGCTATTGAACGTTTATTGGCGCCATTTAATACTAAGTAAATCAAGACATAAAAAGAAAAAACATACCTATCATCGTAAAAGACAATGCTGGATAGCGAACAACACAGTACAACTGAAATGATTTTCGCGTTCCTGGTAATACCAAACAGATGTGGATGCGGGTATAGTTAGGGGGAACATACCTACTTATACCCACACACTCAAGACGGTAACACGTGTGTACTATATGAAAATGAAAAGATCACTACGAAATATAGGTATGAAAGGAAATAAACCGAAATGGTTAACCCTCAAGCGCCCACCTGTAGGACTACCACTTATTACCCACCTGGGGTCCGCATGGACCCCAAGCTAATAAGACAGATATAATACACGTTTTAACTAGTACACTATGATAGCATTGTGTGGTATATAATTTGC